TATAACTTTTGATTTAGAGTTATTTGTTGTTATATGGCATTATTGTTATGCTTTAATCATTGAAGCGGTTGGTTTATATTAAAGGTGTAAAATCATGTATATACCTAGGGGTGGGCATGGGATCCGAACCCGACGGGTTTCGATCCGATCCTACCCGATCGAGTCATTTTTTTAAAAAAAAATTTGGGTTCGGGTCGGGTTTTTTTTAATGTGATGTTCGGGGCGGATCGGGTTCAAGTTTAGGGTGAAAAATACCCGACTCGACCCAACCCGAAAAAATATATAATTTTACCTTATATATTTAGGAATAATTACAATAATATCCCTCTATATATTATTTTTTCAATTAATTCACTGTTTTTATTTAATAAAAATAATTTTTTTATTATTTCGGATAAGGTCGGGTCGGTTTTTTAATTTATATATCGGGTCGGTTTCGGGTCGGGTGAAAACTTATTTTAGTCGGGTCGGGTCTCAGGTGGAGGACTCCTTGTTCTCAGGTTGGGTTGGGTGGACCAAAAACCCGACCCATGCTCATCCCTATATATACCTTTATATTTTTTAGATTGCCAACGTTACGAAGCTACCATAATTGAATATTAGTGGTATATTCAATGCCTTGAAGAATGAATGTACATAAGTTATGAAATTTATAATGGTAACTTATGTGAATAAATGTTTTTGACGTTTGCATTGTTTGCATTTATAAATGCACAATAATATATTAATCATGTGGTTTGAGAGATTAATATTAATTAATACATCATCAAATTATAAATTGATGATAGTTGATATATGGGTACGACAGATAATGCATGTGTGATATTTGGTTCGTGTGGAGATATAAAATAATTTATTCCCATGAGGTAAGATAGTTTTTGAAAATTAAGGAGAAAATAATTATAAATATTTTTTACCGTACTAATACTTTTCTTTGAGAAATTTGTAAAGATACTGGAAATGTGTAATATTTGGAGAAATATGGAGCTGGTAAAAATGAAATGAGAAGATTCTCCAAAATCGAATAGTTGTTAAATTTGATTGATTTCCACAATCTCTTGAAGATAAGGAACCAAACTCCTAAAATTAAGGATCTTGTTACTATCAGTAAATTATTTTAATTTTATTGCTATTAGTAAATTATGTTCTTGACTAACCATGTATAATCTTCATTTGAATTTAGAAAATTCAAAGAGAGAACGGTTCAGATTAAGTGATTTTCATGGTTGATTTTGTGTTCATGCTTATTAAAGATGATGATGTAATGAATGAAGTTTCATGCATGGTGAGAATGAATAAGTCTATTTGGAATTTTGATTCTACCAGTGAGGTCAGATTATTTAGACTTGTTGCCTGATAATTCATGCCTTTTAAATACATGAATTAGATTGCATGAGCCTTTAAGCTTGTCTTTAAAACTTAGTGGATACTATGAAATGAGATAAAACCACTAGCAAATACTAAGGTAGTAGTGCTAGCCCAAAATATGTATGCTTAATAAGATACTATTGTGAGTAAAAGTATAAAGCATAATTCTTTAAAGAGACCTTAATTAAATAAAGAGAAAATATATAAATGATTTATTGAAAAGTAGTGTGATGAGTATGAAAGTGCATGTCTAGGATTGGTTCTATGAAAGACCTGGTACTTAAGCGTGCCTAGTGCACCACCTCTCTTTCATTGAAACCTACCTGGTGCACAGTTCATTACTATGCTCACTATTTCAATTTTAAAAAAATTACTATGGTGAGATAAAAACTTTTAAAACTTAGTGCAGAAGTTAAAAGAGTAGAGAATAATTTGGTTGAGTGGAATTCCAAACTTTGCCATAGTAAATAAAATATGTGATGGTCTCTTTAAGGCTAATATGTTGAATATCATGAATGAAAATATGATAGAAATTATTGCTACTAAAAGTTTGTTGTAGCTATTAAAATCTCTTTGAGTGATTTTCCTAAGTAGAGGAAAGAAAATAGAAAATCTATTTCAGAATTTGTAGTGAAAACTCTTGTTTTAAACTTGAGAACATTTTTCTTGTTGTTAGGAAAAGTTGAAAACTCCCAATAAATTTTGTCATAATATTCATAATTTCCTAAACACTTCTTATGAAGAGTTAGGAAAAATCGAAATTCCTTTTGAATGAGAAAAGGTCGTAGAGGACTAAATGAGATATAAGGAATTTCATGATCATTTGAGAATAAAATAATGTATAAACAAGATTTGAGTTTGTTAAAACATAGTTTTATTGTGAAAACTAATAAAAAAACTTTACTCAAGTATGAATGAGTAAATTTGTAAGAGAATTTGTTTACATGTTGTTCAAGACACTTATGGATTTATTTCTATCCTAAAAATGTTAGAAATGTGGGGGTATCTTAAATGATGATCAAAGTGAGAGAGGAACCTAGTTGATCCACTTACTAAAGGTTAAAGTCAGAAACTGGTTCTTGATTCGTCGAGTGGGATGAGTTTAAAGGTCATTGGTTGAAGAATTAATGGTGGATACCTAACTTAGTTATCTAAGTTCAATGTGGTCAAACGAAGTCATGGAAAGACTCATATTTTACATTTCTACCTACTATCCCTATGACGAATAATGTACATGTACAGGATGAGCTTAACTGTTCTTAATAAATTCATAGCCCAGGCTTTGGGTGGTCTTAGCGAGAAAAACTTGATGAATTTACCGATTTTGGCTTAATATCTATTCTTAATAAGTTCATAACCCAGAGTTGAGTGAGTAGTTCTAATCGCGAAGGACTAGACGAAGTTACAACTTGAGAGGATGATTTTTATTAAACTCTTAATGAATTCAAACCCAAGAGTTTGGGAGTTCCTAGTGAGAAGGACATATTGAATTCACCGAATTATGAGGTTGAATATTTATTCTTAATGATTTCTTATTCCAGAGTTTGGGTGGTTCATTTAAAAATGAACTTGAAGAAATTCACCTTACCTATTGTGAGGTTGAGCTGTTATAAAAGCTCTTAATTATTTCATAGCTCAGTTTGAGTGGTTTATGTTGAGATAGACCTGATGAAATAACATACGTAAGTGAGAAGGATTAGCCACATTTTATGAAAAACGTTGGGTTGTTTTTCTAGTACACTTATTAGAATCCTGAGGAATGAGGGCTAAACATATATACGTTTTTGTATATACTCTTTGTAGACACATCGAGGGCTTTGGTGGATGAAGGGATTAGTTGTGTGTTATGAGTTTGCCCTTATTTAGAAAGTTTAAAACTAGTTTCACTTATATAAGAAAATGATTGCTCATCATCACTATGTACTAGTTCAAGATACGTTCACTAGTGCTTAAGCAACTGATCTCGCTATTGCTCTTCTATGTTTTAACTTCATTGCTCTCATCTTTACGAAAGAAATCTTTCGCATTAGTGGGGAAATGTTGGTAATGCTCAATTTGTAACTGTCTTTTAAAGGCTTTTAATTCTATGTTTAATAGAATTAAATTGTGATTTGGAAGTGACTATTTTTCCCTCACTATTTAGCCTATAAATAGTGGGCAATTTCATTCACTTTTAGTTATCCCAAGCAAACATTTGCTTTGAAACACTCTTCCTCTTTGGAGTGTTCGTTTGAGTTGAGAAGAGAGCAGTACCATCAAAGTTCACGCTAGTTTTCGGGTGTACGAATTCTTGGAGAGTCGTGCTAACCTCAGGGGGTTGTTCGTCCATTGTAGCGATTACACACATCGAGACGAATTTGCTTCTAAGGCAGTGGATTACCACAACACAAATATCATTCTGATTGATTATTTTATTTAATATTTTCCAGTCAGTGCTAACGCATCATTTTGCAGCAGTATATTCTTCCAACAAATTCCATTTCTCCCTCCCCTAGATAAAAATTGTTCAATTTTTTTTCTTTCAAATAAGAGAATGCAGCCAGTAGATTTAACCATTGTTGTTCTTTATATATCCACCGCCTCGAGGAATTTGGAGGAACCAATGATGGTTGTTTGATCATGCTGAAAATCAACTTCGTCGATCACATAATCCATTTTCATATACAATTAATGGAGCATACTGGATAGTTTGGTATTTACTGTTTCTATCACATCTATCCTTACACCATCAGTCAATTGTGCTATCAAACTTAGATCCCAGACGTTCAAGTTCTGCCTGCATCAATGTTGCCATTGTATTCTCCATTGCTGATATTGAGGGATCTGGTGTCAGTGTTGCAAGCCAAAACCCAAGTAATCCTTTAACAAGGAAAATTATGTAAGGAAGAAAAGAAAATAGAAGAATTAGAGAATGGAAGTTAAGAGGAAGAATCGAAGAAATCAGAGAGAGAGATGAGAGGCAGAGACGAGAAGAGAGCAATATTTACTTTATTCCTTTGTGCCAATTGTAGCTACTGAAACATCTTGACAAGTGAAATGTCAATAACCGTTAAGGATGGTCTGAGGTGGAAGAAGGATGAGTCATGTAGTGGGTATTTATAATGTCATTGATATAAATTAGTTAGAAGTTATCATGTCTCTTATTTCAAATAGACGTCTTAAGGGTTGAAGGCTCAGATTAGGACGTCACAAGTGTCAACACGTAGTGGATGATGATGTAACATGGGAATGTTCGTAAGGATAGTAGGTGATCGACACGTGGTTGTTTATAAAATGCATTACACGATTCTGAGAGTTCGCATGGTCTTGCATTAGCGTTCCTTATGATTCGTACGAATGGTACGTGTGTTATCATGGAATTGCAGAATAAGAGGTTCGCTTATGTGAAGGGTCGCAAGGATAAATAGTAACAGTACCTAGCTAACAAACTAGTAAGAAAAAGCATAATAACATAGCTAGTAACACTATATATGACGCTGATCAAACTTAATCTAACTCAGAATATAGATATAAAATTTCATCCAAATCTATTTATATTTATAAATAAATAATCCCTATCCATTTAAGCTAATACGATATTTCTTGATTTCATTAGCTGGTAATTGGATTGGGGAAAATTTCAGAATATATAATCCAACATTTGCTTATTTATTCAATTTTATTTGTTTATTTGCTTATAGGGGCATTAGTCTTTTGTACTTGAAGAACCACACAAATGCACAAAATATGATGATCCCACAAACCCCAGTAATTATGAGGACCCACTTAAATGCACCAGGGTCGTCAAAGAATGGTATGGCGAAGTTCATGCCAAATATTCCGGCTACCACCCCGAAAATGGCAACAACAAAAGTCGCAGTAGTGAGTAGTAGTTCGAATTGGATCAGCTGGTTTCGAACATTATCCTGAATCCAAAGTATGTCATAAGTTTCAAAGGTCAGATGGTTTTCCACAGGAGCACATAAATCACATACTTTCTCTATCACATCACAGAGGAAAAATCATCAGTACAAGCATTGGAATGGAGCAGATGGGATCTAAGAAAGTGGACAGGCTAATTTTCGAGAATATAGCTTGTTTCTAGGCCTTACAAATCATGTTCTTAAGTCATTGTAAAGTTGGAAAAGATCTAATTTTTCCACTTTCCAGTGCTGTCAAGGGCAAAAGGACTCTACACACTAAAACCTTTGTTCCTCAAGCGCGAGGAGAAAAAGCGCTCACTTAAGTACAACACAATATGTATAATGTATGTATTTTTTTAGTGTCTACAAAACATGCACTTTCTTTAATTGGCCAAATATATGATTTTCTTATGGTCTTATAGTTCCACTGTTGAAAACTTAAATATTCAAATGTAGAGAGTTTAATGCTATCTCCAAAAAAAATGTTTGAGCCGCTTTTATTGTCTAGAGCCAAGGCACAAAAAGTAAGCATGAATAGCCATACACGCCTTGGCAACACTGAATGCTTCATCCTGTTAATTTTTTCATTCTAAGCAATTGCCAATGAATGTGCCAACAAGCAGGAAAGGAAGAATCAATATGAAACTAAGAACTGGTTTGGATGCATGGTGCCAGTAGGGGTGGACTTTAGCACCACAAATCCAAACAGGATTTTTCAGTTCCAGTTTTGACTTTTTCACTTTAGGTTCGTTGATATTTCACTAACAGTTCTATCAAGAAGGAAATATCGCATACCAGCTGAATATTGATGAAATCTTCTGTGTCATCAATGTATTCCTTCAACTGGAACAAGAAGAAAATAATATCATATCCATCCAAGAAAAGGGATGATGAAAGATGTTAGACTGGTGCTCTACATACCGATGTCAACTTATTGAGGGTGCTATCAATGAGAACAAAGTAGGCTTCCAATAACATCTCCAGCTCCTCTATACTCTCAGTAGAGCTCTCTGAACTCTTTGTGCTCTCATGGTGGCTCCTTGCAATGCTCAAGCTTTTCTCCAGCCTGCGTGGTTCATGGGGTGATGCAACAGGAGACACTGGAGCTGAAGCAGAGAGTCCGTCATTTGATCTGAACCCCATCACAGGTTGATCACCATAAAATGATGACTCCATACTGCTCCTCTTCTCGCTAAGATACATTTCGGCCATATCTCCATCATCATCCATTAGCTGCTCTATCTCATCTCTAACCTAAATGGATAACAAGATGGGAAAGTATGAAAAAACAGTTTTTTCAAGGCCACATGGACACTCCAGGTGCTATATTGCCTCAGGTACAAGGCACAAAAAGAGCTCTCACTTGACTGAAGTAATGTGCAATGCATACGTGTATTTTTGTGAGTGTATATCTAATTATAATAATAATCTCTAAGGAGCAGTCCAGTTTACCCACAAGACACTCGATCTTTTGTTGGCCTATATGCCTGATTTCTTTGCGGTTTCATATCCTATTATAGAGTACTCAAATACCAAGAAGTAGATGGTTTGGTACTATCCCTTTTCTTACTATAATCTAATGAAAATAGTTAAAAATAAAAGAATTAAAGAGAACTTCAATAAAGCAGGTTTTTTTAATGCCTATTGCCTTACAAAAAGCATGCCTAGGTAAACCGGTGTGCATCTGATCAAATCCGCCATGCCTGAAAGGGGTCCAAGGTGTTTTCATTGTCTAGTGCAAAGATGTAAGGCACGCCTAGGCGCACACCTTGACAACACTGACCAGAACACATGATTACCATTTACGTTCCAGAGAGAACAAAGAAAAGGGAGATGCAAAATACATTATACCTTCTGCACTCTTCGAGTCAAAGCAACAAGTCTGCTCTTTAATCTACGAACTCGCTCCAAGTTTAACGTACTAATCTTTGATGTAAGCTCATCCAGCAATGGGTATGCTTCAATTTCCAATTCTGCTGCCTTTGATGCATCAAATGAGTTACCAACTTGCTCAATAGTAAACATATGTAAAGAACACACAAATTGATAGTAAAAAAGCAACAATTATATATATAAAAAAAAGGACTTGGAACTCAGCAAGTACATAGTGGACACGGTTAAATACAATATTAGTGGTCAAATTTTGATAATTCAATTATAACATAAAATCAATTCTAATTGTGGGTTTTTCATCAGATAAATAGCCTGCATCCAGTAAGCTTCCAGAAATCTATATTAGTGATAGCAGGTAATCGGAATTGAGCTTTAAATAAGAAAAAAAATAGAAATTGCATAGAAGTTATCAAATTTTTTTAGACAAATATGGTAAGAATATATATAATAGTATAATACCATCTCTAGGAAGTAAGAGCTGGTGCTCTGACTTTTGGAGTATTTGGCTAGACCACAAAAAAAGAAGTTTTATTTTAAGTAATACAAGAAAACATGAATGTCATGCAAGTAATCCAGAAGCAAGAAAGATCAAACACAAAATCTAGATACTGGATGGTATAGTATCCTAGAAATTCAGTATTGGCAATTGGCGGCCTCTTCCCAATGCTCTGCCTGGTTAGGAAGGTTCACAGAAAAAGCTAATTTGCGCTTCTAACATTTACTTCTTTGAATAATTCATTTCAGGCTCTACACGAGTGTCAAGGTTCCAGTTGCTGTTTTCTCAATCTCGTTATTGAACATTAGATGATTTCTTTATAGAACAAGCAACGACAACAGAAGCTTTCAACCATTCACATCAGCTGCCCCCACATATTACGGGAGCCATGACAGGTTACCATGATTCTCTCCAAATAACACTTGATGGGGATGTCTTAAAACTATGGGTTCCTTCAGTTTATGTACCATTTAAAAGCAAATATTCAAAACTTATATTTTCCAAATATCATAAGAATTAAAATGCAGTCAGTCTAGTCTCAAGTATCTTGCCCTTTGATTTGTTGCTACTTCAACTAAATATAAGGCTGATCACAATATAAAAGTCAAGAGAGCTGATGAAGAATCAGCGATTAGAAGATTAACGTTTATTGCGTGGTTCCAATCTCAAAACATCTCCTCCCAGACCAAATAATGGATTTCTGGTGATTTCAGCAGAACATAAGGCGCCTCCAGATATGTTACAGATTTGTAGGCTAAATCTTAGTATAATTATATATTGTGTATTTAATGTAGGATATTATTTTACATATTTTAGGACCTTTATGCGTGTATATACCCATAATGTTTATTAGAGTTTGACCCGAATTCGATCTAACTCAAATTGATTGGGAAAAGTAGGAAACTTAGTTTGATTGAAAGTAGGAAGAATATTTTATTTTATGTTGATTGAGAGTAGGAAGCATAGTTTGAGTAGATTTCTTGTTATGCAAGTTTCATTTGTAATCAAGTTACTATCATTATAATAGATACTAGGGATTAAGATTAGAAGCCAAATTGTTCATGAGGATTCCTCTTGTATTCTTCTATTTTTGATACTAGTGAAAATTCTCTTCTTCTGTCTGTGATTCTTCCCAAAAGAACTTTCCACGTAAAATCTTTGTGTCTATTTTATTGTGCGATCACCATGCTTGTCGTCATCTTTTAACAAAATGGTATTAGAACATCAGGTTTACTTGTCTTGATCATGATAATGACATCTTAAAGCATGAAATTCCACTATTGAATTGCAACACCAAATTCACGTTGTGACATATGTAGGTATGAAAATTTGCAAGAACTCTCTCATTGTGATGAAATGGTAGAGAAAGGCTATCAAATTTTTTGTTCTGTTCGGTCAATAAACACGTCTTTATTGAATTGCAACACCAAATTCACGTTGTGACATATGTAGGTATGGAATTTGCAAGAACTCTCTCATAGTGATGAAATGGTAGAGAAAGGCTATCAAATTTTTTGTTTTGTTCGGTCAATAAACACGTCTTTATTGAATCAACAATTTTAGAAGATAAAGTTGTTATTTTCTTCTTCATGTCAGATGATGTTATTATCAATAAACACGTCTTTATTGAATCAAACAAAGGAAGATTTTGTGTTGAACAAGACAACCGTGGGTATAACAATTTTGAAAAACATAATAAAATTCTATTTCTTGAGCATAACGAATTTGAGAAGAAAAAAATAGTTCACTTCCTCATATGGATTAACAACAAAAAAGAAAGAATTGTCTTTGATGATTTGGATCATGATGTGCATGATATTCCTCGTGGTGGTACAGTTTTGAGCAGAGTTGCCACTTATGGCGATCATATCGATGTAAAAATTAAATCCAAGCTTGGACAGTATTTGGATTTGATCGGCAATTATTGTTAAAGAATACCTCTTTAAAGAGTTCCTTCAAAGAAGTGGAGAATATATTCTGAATATGGAATAACTTGTTCATCGACGTGAAGAATTAACTTTTATTGAATTTGGGTGTGTAATCGAATTTAGGGTTTTATCTCGAACTCCTTACAATTTCAGAATTCGTGTCAAGGTAGACATTGTTAGAATTTGACTCATGTTGAATAATCGGGTAAAGAAAACAAAAGAACACAAGAATTTTAACGAGGTTCAATGTGCTTACGTCCTCGGTGCCCTAGGCGGCGCTAGAATTTTTATTCAATGTCTCATAGGTTTTGGTTACATCTCCTTTTATAATAAATAAACCCTGGTACATATTTACAAAAATAACTTTGTACCGTACCGCGGGGGATACGCCCCCCGCACTCCCAACCCACATAATCGTAACCCGCACTACGAGACTTTCTTTGTAAGGACAAATTATGTTCTCTACGCTCCGTTCCATCCTCTGTCCTCTTTACTGGTATATTTATGAGCTATACCTAACAAATCTCCACCTTGGCGAATATCTTGCCCCTTAGGAAACATTCAATGTGGGTTGGGTTACCTTACTTCTTTAACAACTCGAAACATTAACAAGTCCAAGCAATGCATGAACTTGTCTATCGTAACTGGCTTGATGAACATATCAGCGGCATTCTCATTAGTATGTACCTTTTGAAACAAAATCTCTCCAGATGCAACCAACTCTTTGATCTTGTGAAACCTTACATCAATATGCTTAGTTCTAGCACGATATACCTGATTCTTAGCCAAGTGAATAGTACTTTGATTGTCACAAAGCAACTGAACTCCACATTGTTGAACATCCAACTCCTTCACTAAACCAGTAAACCATAAAGCTTCTTTTGGAGCTTCAGCCGCTGCCATGTATTCAGCTTCAGTTGTGGATAATGCCACAACAGATTGAACAGTGGACTTCCAACAAATAATCCCTCCACCAAGAGTAAAGACATACCCTGTCGTAGATCTTCTATTATCCAAATCACTCGCATAGTCTGAATCCACGTATTCTACAACCAAAGGATTATCCCGCTGACTACCAAAAAAAATTTCATGTCCCACAGTACCCTTTAAGTACCTAAAGATCCACTTGACTGCTTCCCAATGTTACTTACCAAGTTTAGACATGTACTTACAAACTTGACTAACAGCATGAGCTAAATCAAGACGAGTACATATCATTGCATACATCAAGCAGCCAACAACAATAGAATACGGAACCTTTGTCATAACTTCAGCTTCCTTATCTGTCTTAGGGCACTGTTCTGATGAGAGCTTAAAGTGATTCGCCAATGGAGTGCTCACTGGTTTTGCGTTGCTCATCGCAAACCTTTCTAGCATTTTCTCAACATAACCCCATTGAGATAGACACAGTTTCCTTGAGTCTCTATCCCTGCAAATTTTCATTCCAAGAATTTTCTTTGCAGCACGTAAATCTTTCATATCAAATTCCTGACTCAATAAAGTTTTCAAACCGATAACATCATCCATGTTCTTCGCAGCAATTAACATATCATCAACATACAATAACAGAAAAATAAAGTAACCATCATCAAGGCTCTTAACATAGACAAAACAATCATACTCACATCGCTTGTAGTCAATCTTGATCATATAGAGTCAAACCGTTTGTACCATTGTCTCGGAGACTGTTTTAACCCGTACAAAGATTTCTTCAATTTGCAAACTAAATGCTCGTTTCTAGGTTGAGTGAAACCTTCAGGCTGCTGCATGTAGATCTGTTCCTCTAAATCACCATGCAAAAAAGCAGTTTTCACATCCATCTGCCCTAATTGCAAATCCCAACTAGCCACCAATGCAAGTACTGCTCGGATTGAAGTGTGCTTGACCACAGGAGAAAAAATTTCATCATAATCAACTCCTTTTTGCTGTAAAAAACCCTTTGCTACCAAACGAGCCTTGAATTTCTCCCCCTCTTTTTCTGTTACTACTAGTTTCTTCTTATACACCCATTTGCAACCAATAGACTTCTTACCCTCAGGAAGGCGAACTAACTCCCATGTGCGATTGTGATTTAAAAACTCCATCTCCTCAACCATGGCAACTATCCACTTGTCATTTTCCTGACTAGTAACAACATCATGAAAAGTAATTGGATTATCACCGCTAACAGTAAGTACAAAAGATACCAAGTTTTCAAAACCCAATCTGTTTGGAGGTGTTATATTCGTCCGTCTCCCCCTGTCTCTGGCGAGACTATAATCCTGCAAATCAACCGTAGTGGAACCACCAGAAATCAGTTGAGAAGTTTATGTTTTCTCAACTGGAAACTGCTCAAAATCCACCACTGTCGTGTCCTTCTTCTGCTGCAACATGGGCTATTCATCAAAAACAACATCTCTACTGATCACAATTTTCTTCGCAACTGGATCCTAGAACTTGAATCCTTTGACACCTATCTTGTAACACAGAAAAATGCACTCCTTCGATTTTACATCAAGTTTGGATCTCTCATCAGCAAGTACATGCACATAAGCAGGACAACCAAAAATCCGTAAGTGATCAAAAGTAATATCATGACCAGTCCATACATCTTCTGCAACTTTCGCAGCCAATGATGCCCTTGGAGATCTATTGATAAGATAATACGCCATGTTAACAGCCTCAGTCCAGAAGTGTTTGGGAAGCCCCGCATTCAACCGCAAACATCTGGCTCTTTCATTCAACGACCTGTTCATCCATTCCGCAGCACCATTCTGTCGTGGTGTCTTGCGCACTGTAAAATGTCTCTTAATCACATGCTCCTTACAGAAGTTTAGAAACTGTGAATATGTGTACTTTGTACCATTTTCAGACCGTAAACACTTGATTTTTTGTCCTGTTTGGTTTTCTACCTCAGCTTTGCACAACTTGAACTTCTCAAAAATGTCAAACTTCTGTTTCAAAAAATACACCCAAACTTTCCGTGAAAAATTGTCAATAAAAGTAACATAATACCTAGATCCACCCAAAGGCAATGTCGTGGAAGGCTTCCATACATTAGAATGTACATAATCAAGAATCCCTTCAATTGTGTGTTTCCCAGTCTTGAAACGAACTTTAGTCTGTTTACCAATAACACAATACTTGTAAAAATCGAGCTTACAACTTTTAACACCATGCAACAGATTTGTTTTATGTAATTCAACCATACCACGTTCACTAAGATGAGCAAGACGCATATGCCATAGTTTGGTAGTATCATTACAGGACTCAACAGAATGAACTCCACCTACAACGGTACTCCCTAACAATCTGTAAATATTCCCTGCAGTCATCTTTCCTTTCATCACAGTCAAAACTCCTTTAACAATCTGAATGGTTTCCTTATCCTCATCAGCCTTAGGGATAAAACCATTCTTGTGCAAAGTGCCAAAAAAATCAAATTCTTCTTCAAATCTGGGATATGTTGAACACCACACAACGTCCGAACAGAACCATCATACATCTTAATTCTGACATCACCAATACCAACAATATTGCAACATTGATCATCACCCAAATAAACAGAACCAGAATTAACCGACTTGTATGTCGAAAATCATTCCCTATTTGGTGTGATGTGATAAGAACATCCAGAATCAAGAATCTGTCAATTGAGTCGTTGAAATAGATAGCATGTCACCCTCACTGCAATTAGAATTGTCATCCTCAGCCACATTCACAGACTTAAATGAGTCATCACGCTTCTCATCAGTCTACTTTTTCAGCTTCGGACACTCGCTTCATATATCTTGCCTCCTTGCACTTGTAACAGTAAATTGTCTTCTTATCCCTATATTTGGATCTGAAATTCCGCTTCCCAGACCCTACCTTCTCTAGCTTCTGTCCACAGTCTCGATTACCCTTGACATATAAGCTATCAGCTTGAGAGCTTTCCCTTGCATTCTGCTTCCGCTGGTTGTGAGCCAATAAGGCTGCAGTAATCTCCTCAACTTTGATAGTCTCTTTCCCATATGTAAGAGTAGTCACCATGTGTTCGTGAGAGGAAGGCAACGAACACAACAGAATCATCGCTTTGTCTTCATCCTCAATTTTCACATCAAGTCGAGCCAAATAAGAAACGATATTATTGAAGACATTCACGTGTTGCGCCAAATCATGATCATCATGCATCTTCAACCCATACAGCCGCTGCTTTAGATACAGTTTAGTCGTTAAGAATTTGGACATAAACTGACTTTCCAACTTCTTCCAAATTTCATCTGGAGACGACAGATGCATGACGTGATACATTACCTTGTCTGCCAAACATAATCGTATCGTTCCTACTGCTCGCTGCTGCAATTCTTCCCAATCTTCCTCCTCCATCTACGCCGGCTTTATAGGTCGCAAAGCCTTCAAGATCTCTTGCTGTGCCAACAAATCCTTCACCCTTATTTTCCATAATCCGAAGTTACCCTGACCATCAAATTTCACAACTTCGAATTTGGCTACTGACATCTGATACCAATTGTTGAATAATCGGGTAAAGAAAAACGAAAGAACACAAGAATTTTAACGAGGTTTAGCAATGTGCTTACGTCCTCGGTGCCCTAGGCGACGCTAGAATTTTTATTCAATGTCTCATAGGTTTTGGTTACACCTCCTTTTATAATAAATAAACCCTAGTACATATTTACAAAAATAACCTTGTACCATACCACGGGGGCGCAACCCACATAATCGTAACCCCCACTACGAGACTTTCTTTGTAAGGACAGATGATGTTCGCTAAGCTCCGCTCCATCCTCTGTCCTCTTTACCGGTATATTTATAAGCTATACCTAACAACTCAAATTTGATCTGACTCAAATTGATTGAGGAAAGTAGGAAATCTAGTTTGGTTAAAAGTGGAAACTTATCCTATTTATTGTTGATTGAGAGTAGAAAACATAGTATGAGTAGATTTCTTACTATGCAAGTTTCTTTTGTAATCAAGCAACTACCCCTATAAATAGATAATAGGATTAGGGTTAAATGTCAAGTAGTTCATGAAGATTCCTCTTGTATTCTTCTATTTTCGACGTTAGTGAAAATTCTCTTCTTTTGTCTGTGATTTTTCCTAAAAGGATTTTACACGTAAAATCTTATTTTTTTTTATTTTATTGTATGATCATCATGTTTGTCATTATCTTTTAACAATTTTGATGAATAAAAATGAGAGAGTATACTATTTCAGAATTCTACATGGTATCAGATGTTATAAAGCAGTTTTAGCATTTTTAAGGTTTGAAAATTGGGATTTTCTAGGCTGTTTGGGTGTCCAAAATCCAAATCAGGGGGTTATTGCTGCTCTTCACATGGTAGGTTTTGGAGACATTTTTTTCGACATTGCTAGCATAGGGAGGTCCATTGTGCGCCGATTAGTCAGCCACCAAAGTCCGGTCACCAGATTTTGCGCGAGTGAGTCCCACGGGCCGCCAGAAGGGTTCATTGGTTCTCCAAATGCCAAAGTTAAGTGTCCAAAAATAACAATCTAAAGAACAAGAGAACTTGTTCTTTATTCTTCTTTAAAGAACAAGATATCTATGTGCCTGTCTAGTCAGGTGAGATATGGAAATAAAAAAAATAAAAATCAGAAGACCATTTTAGCACAAGTTCCCTAGGCGGAACTTAATCTGTAACAAGGAACATGAAAAAATTGAATTTCAAAAGAATCCTTACCTAACAAAAGAAAAGAAAAAGATCTTAATATACAGTAAAGCTGATGGGAGTCTTTGCATAACGATCAAGTGCATGCATGGGGGAAGAGCTTTTGCAGCCAGGAAATTTCAATATAGCAGCCAAACAGAGCAAAAGGAAACGCTTCTCTATAGTTTTTTTGTATTAGTGTATTATAGTTGAATAAAATAACGACGACAAACCCAGTCAATAGCAAGTAACAAGAATATGCAAAACATCATTTCATATGAGTTGGTGTTATGTGCCTTGTTCATCCTTAATTTTAAATTAGTTTACAATACCCAACAATCAAAAAGAAAATCTGCAATCTATGCATCTTCCAGACATTTAAAAAAAATAAGGGTCATCACAACAAATTGATACTAAATCACAAAAAAAAAAATCCTTATACTAAGGGACATAAAGATTGTCATGTTCGTTGGATGAGACGAGGAGGGCTGAGAAGATGGAGAGAGAAAGAGAGAATTTTGACCGGTAAAAATATATAATTTATAAAGCTTTACTCAGTTAGAACCTAATACTTGCATCACACCACGCATGCTAGTTTTAGGTTCAATATTCAGTTCATGAATATTGTATTCCAACCCTTCCATATTTCAGCAGGAACTTTTCTCATGTGAATAGTTTTAGGAGAACAAGTTTATAATTGAAGAAGTACCTTTGTTTATCATCACTCATTTAATTCAAACACAATAAAACATTTTAGTTGACACGCACCTGAGAATCAAGGAATGTACAGGCAGATTCCAAAGCAACCTCAAGAGCCCTAAACTCAAAGGGCAAATAATCGGGGGATGGACTCCCATACACATTGTCAAAATTCTTACTGCTTCTTCTACGGTTCAACTCAGGACCCTCTGGTTGCCAAACCTCACCTACCCCACATGTTAGTCGCCTTTGAAGCTCCACAACATACTGCAAAACATAGCTATCAAGAGAATTCAAGAGTAAAACCTCATCAGCTGTGATGATACACCGTATCTGCTCTAAATTTACAACAATAGCCTTCTCTCTACCAAGGATAGTGGAGGGGTACACAAACAAAGGATCAAGAAGCCGTAGATCCCGGGCTGGCAGATCACAACGACGCATCATAGTGAACTTGTCAACCTCGATGACCTGGGAATTCCCAGATATATCTACACGGATCCAAGATCGGAGTCCTTGACCTCGTTTCTTTAACCCCGATAAATCCAACCCTTGGAAAGGTTGGCGTCCAGAGGCAGATGCCTGATATGCAATGCCTCTAAGGTTTATAGCCGATTGGGGTTTCGGTGGGAGCAGGCGTTCTTTTAGGTCCACCATTGATATATTATTCTGAATCTCCTAAATAAACCATAAAAACTCAACATCAGACAAACAAGTTCTCAGAGAAGACCCTAGATAAAATGGTTTCAAGAAACCCACTTTTCCAACTAATGCCTAATGGCTACTCACTTGTACGTGCATCCAAACAAGATTAACTTCAGGACCTCGTTACTTTAAAGCATGCCTGAGTGCCAATTTCATGATTAGATTAGTCATGTTTGTTTATGCAAACACAAACCGTAACAATGTTGGTTTCACGCTACTTGAGATGAAAAATCCATTAAACCAAAAAAGATTATTGACGAAAGAAAGCAATAGGATGTCACCTAAAATGCTTCCTGGAAAACGCCTAATTCTCTCATAAGCTTATACTCAAACTAATTGAACAATAAACTCAAAAAACGAATTGAAAATAAAGAGCAAAATCCATTAAACTACAAATAATAATTCACATAAAGAATGATGTAATTAACCATTAGTATATCACCTAAAGTTCTACCACGAAATAGCCTGATTCCCTCGTAAACTTATAATGAAACTAAATTGAAAGAGAAAAGAATGAAAATAAAGAGTAATCCATCGAACCACAAATAATTCAGCATAAGAATTACGAAATTAAGCATTAGAATGAAAATAAAGAGTAATACATCAAACCACAAATAAAATGCTAACCCAAAATGGCCTACTCCTCATAAACTTTTAATCAAACTAAATGGAACAATAAAAATAGTGTAAAATTCAATAAATTCCAACTCAGATTGAAGCATATAAAAAAGGAAACAGCAGTAAACAATCAGATTACTTCAAGGATGAATAAACTAGCATACCTCGAAGAAATTAACTACCTGATGCCGTTGTTTGATTAAGCAAGCAGCAGCAGCAGCAGCAATAATAATAAGATTCAAAATTATAACATAAAAATTAAAATAAAATAAAAACCTAGATTTGAAAAAGCACCTACGCAGCAGCGAATTATACAGAAGAAAAATTAATTTATTTAACAAAATTAAAGAAAAAATAATCTAAAAAAAATTGAAAAGTGTGAGGAAATGCTAAAACTTCGTCACTTTTACGTCAAAATAAAACTACAAACTATATTTTTCTGATAAATTAATAAACCAAACCTTCACCTTTAGTTTTTCTATGTAAAAATGATCTTTTTAATATGAGACTTTTAAATATTTTATAATGGCTATTAAATTTGTCAAACTAATTCAAAATTATACCTAAGACATTATAAAATAGTAATAAATTTCAATAAAGTTAATAATTATTTTATAATAATTTGAAAAGTTTAATGATTATTTTTGCAATCGTTTAATAAATTTAATGAATATTTTATAATTATTTAAAAAAATTAATAATTATTTTATAATATTTAAATGTTTACTGACAAAATATTATTTTATTATAGTTTTTAATATAATTTTAGGCATAATGACAAAATTACCCTAACATTTGCATAAATAGTCATCTTGACTCCTATTCTTTTTTTAAAATATTTTAGCCTCTAACGTTTTAATTTTTCATTCAAAAACCTCTCATTGGAAGGAAACAGTTAGTTGCCTAACAGTCAACATATGTTGTTGATGTGTCATTTTACATATGCTTAATTACTATGTGGCACATCACCCATAGTGATGATGTGGCATGTGTGTGGGCTCCCATAGTGATGAAATGACATGTGTCATGTCAGCAACATGTGTTAATCGTTAATCAACTAACAGTTTCTTTCCAAACATGGGGTATTTTGATGAAACATTGAAACAATATACACTAAAATGCTCTAAAAAAAGAAAAAAGGGCTAAATTAACCATTTATATAAACATTGGGGAGTAATTTTGTTATTATGCCCATATTTTAACTTTTTTTAAAAATATTTAATAACTAAGAGTATAGTATCACTCATTAGTGGTTAAGCATGAACCAAACGATCTTAGTGGTTAAGGAATTATTGTTATCTCCTGAGATTTTAAGTTCGAGCATCATATATGCAGGATCATGAGTGTGTTATGTCAAATGGTTGAAAGTCTTTGAACATATATCATATTATTACTTTGTACTCACCCATATTAATAAAAAACAAAACAAAAGAGATTTTTTTAACATGGATAATAAATAATAAAGTAGCTTAAATTTATCTTCATCAACCGTACAAATTTTATTAAATTAATTAATAATTTTAATGTTTTGATATGTTGGGATTGTGATGAAGCTCAAATGATCAACCGAATAATTTGCTAAGAGGGGGTGAATTGACTATTTGAGTTTAGGGAGTAAGGAGTAGAAAAGATAGGAAAATTTGCACAATGATTTATAGTGGTTCAACTTCTTAACCAAGTCTACATCCACTACCTTAGCTCCTCACTAAGGATTTTCTAATAAATTCACTAATTTGTTCTTTCTTTTTACAGGATCAAGAAATAACCTTTACAACTCCCTAGATTTTCACATGCTAAGCTAAAACCAATCCCCTTTTACAAAGGTAAAGAAATTTAAACAATAAAACCTCTAAAATGAAGGTGTTTACAAAAATTAAGCTCACAAAATACTAATATTTACAAGAGAAAGGAAAATAATAAAGAAAAACTCTTCTCTTGTGTTTGATTGCTTGGATAGGTGTTTTAACCCTTCTTCAAGTGTCCTCAACTTGTTTTATATGTTGGAATGAGCTTGTGGTCGTTTCTAGTCGTTGGGGATTAATTTTCTACAAAATAAAATAGCCTAGTACAGGGAGTATTGGTATTCCTTTAATGAGTATCGGTACTACATTTGTAATATTTAAATAAACTAGCCGTTACTAGCCATTAGGCCTGACCAGTATCGATACTATGCTTCATGGTATCGATACCACTGTGTAAAGTAGTATCGATACCCCTTTGAGTATCGGTACTTATTTTGCATTATGGAATTTGAGCCGTTTGAAAAATATTTGGTAGTATCGATACTTCTCTTATCTTTGGTATCAATACTACATGAACATTATCAGTACTGTTCATATAGTTGCGATACTGTAAGAACAGTATCAATACTATGTACCTAGAAAAACAATTTTGTGCTCAAATTATAGTTTAATGAACTTTGAATTATTTTTGAAAACTTTGAATAAATTCAATCAAGTCCAAAAACATTGTCTTAATTTGTTATATCAAAACATTATAAAACATAGTTCAACAATCTCCCCCTTTTTGATATAACAAAACATTTGAAAATTTGTTTTTTTTTTTTCAAAATCCCCCTTAATAAAATGTTTCATGAAAAAGAGAAAAATTTAGAAAATATTAAAGCTCTCCCTTTTTCATTCTTGAAATTGAATTTTTAAAACTCATACTTCTTCCCTTTTTTTATATAAAAAATAAGTCAACTTTAAATTTCAAAAATAACAATGGAGAGTAAGTGATAAATTTTAGCATAAAATCATTTGAAAATCAAAGCTCCCCTCAATAAAAGCATTCCAAACAAAAAAATGACTTTAGAAGCTTGACACTTAGAAGACATTGAATTTCAACAAAGATGAACAAATAAGTTAGTAGCACAAGAAATTCAATATATCCAAGTCTAATAAACTTTATACAATAAGAATTGTTGAATTTAAGTGCACGTGCATAAAGCTATCCAAAAACGTTATGCATTTGAAAAATTGATATCAATTGTTAGAGAGATATGATTTATAATAAATTACATGCATAAACATTTAAATTAAGGTCAAAAAATAAATTTTGTAAAAATAAAATATTAAAACTAATTTTGACCAAAATTCATTATGATGAACAAACATTTATAAAAAAAATCATTAAATCTTTAGAAAATGTTCATCATAATACTTTTTAACATACATGAGATAGAAAACATAAAATTATTTAAAATCAAAACTCATGCATGCTTAAACTAGATGAGTAACCAATTAATCAAAACAAAAACATTAAGCTTAGAATTTACCCATTCCATATCAAGTGTGGCTATAGCATTTGAGTATCTTCACTTTCATCACCATTGCCCCTACACACTTACAAGAGACATTCATTTAGACTTTGGTATCCAAATTGCTTTGGATCCTTTGAACGTTAGTTTCAATGCCTCTTGTTCCCTTAGGAACCCATACTTGTCTAATTCTAAAACAATTTCCTTTCTTTATATGACAAGTATGTTCCATATGACCATAAAAATGACAATGTGGGCCTTTTATCATTATGAAATTAGATGAATTATTTAAAATGATTTCCTTTTCTTTTGTTAAGCATTTAAGCTTAACCTTTAAATCAAAACTTTCTTTTTCAAATTTTTCAATTTTCATTTTTGAAAGCTCTAAATCGTTTTTTCAAAATTTCATTTTGTTTTTCGAAATCAACTTTTGCTTTCAAAAGAAAATCGTTTTTAACTTTAAGTTTTGAAATCAGTTTCTTGTATTTGGAGTTCATAGTCTCAAACTCCAAAAATAATTCATCATATGCATCTTGTAACTCATCAAAAGAATATGAATCAGATTAATTAGAGTTGGAAGAAACCTTGGGCTCTTCAAGAACCATTAAGATCACTGTTTTTTTTTTTATTCTTCTTTCTTGTTTCCATGAATCTCTTTGAGCTTATTCTAAAGCTCCTTGGCATTTGAACTAGAAAAAACTCCTACATAAACATCGGTACTAAATGCACAAAACAACAGGTGCATGGCTTTAGCATTTTGTTGAGCTTTCTTTCGTTCTTGGGCACTCCACTTCTTCATCTTCTTCTTTGGAGAAGAGTAGTTGTTCTCGATCATCTCCCATGCATCAAGATCATTGGATTGGATGAATAGCTTCATTAATTTCTTCCAATGAAGGTAGTTGGCTCTATTAAAGTATGGAGACTTGTCGATCGGTTGGCAGTCTTCCATGTGGAACGAGCTGGAGGTGGAAGTCATCTTCTCGGTTGTGTCAAATATTGGTAGAACTTCTTCAAGGACATTCTCAAGGTTGTTAAACCTTCTAATGAGTCAAGCTCTGATACCAATTATTGGGATTGCGATGAAGCTCAAATGATCAACCGAATGATTTACTTAGAAGGGGTGAATTGGTTATTTGAGTTTAGGAAGTAAGGAGTATAAAAGATTGGAAAATTTACACAATGATTTATAGTGGTTCGACTTCTCAACTAATTCTACATCCACTACCTTAGCTCCTAACTAAGGATTTTTTAACAGATTCACTAATTTTTTCTTTCTTTTTACAAGATCAAGAGATAACCTTTAAAACTCCCTAGATTTTCAAAGGCTAAGCTAGAACCAATCCCCTTTTACAAAGGTAAAACAATGCAAACAAGAAAACCTCTAAAATGAAGGTGTATACAAAAATTAAGCTCACAAAAACACTAATATTTACAAGAGAAAGGAAAATAAGAATGAAAAACTCTTCTCTAGTGTTTGATTGCTTGGATAGGTGTTCTGACCCTTCTTCAAGTGTCCTCAACTTTGTAATATCCCAAAATAGGGCTAGTGACTAAAATGTAAATTTTGAAAACTTTGTGTTCAATTTCAAAATAAGTTAAAAGTTCAAGGACTTAATTAGAGAATTTTGGTGTTGGAGTTAATAGCAAAGTTTGAAAGTATAAAGGGTATAATGGTCATTTGATATGAAAGATTTTTATTTCTTCCTTTATAAGGATATTAAACACATAGAAATGGGATTAAAGGAAAGAAAAGTCTGGAGACTTAATTCTCTTCTTCTACCTCGTTGCCGCGAGCTTCATTTTAAATGTGAGTTTTGGTAAACTGATTATTTCTTGAGTTTTAAGCTTAGTTTTGATTCTTGGTGTGTTAAGAAAGATTAATTAGAGATTAAAGTGTGTTGAAACACCAAAATGGATGAGTTATGAAGGATTAAATATGAAGAGTCTTTAAGTGAATTATTGAATAAGGAGTAAATGGATTTTTAAGT